TACAAGGTTTCTTATTGCAACTGGTCTTGGAGCGTCAGGTATCAAGGAAATCCTGATATAATACAGTTGCAATTACTTCCCAACACAAATAGGTGGCCTAACAGTCGTTGACTTATTGCTAGTATCAGAGGTGGCGTGAGTGTATCCGAACCTTTGCATTGTGGCTTGAATACACATCTTATAAATGCATTATTCAGTGTTATTGAGTGTTCATTGAATGTGAGAAATGAATCCTTTATAATATTAGTTATCTTGAAAACTTATGACGTATATAAAGTGTTAAAAAAACTACTTGGAATCACTTAATACCCCTCCTTACTTTCTAATCGCAAATGTAAATGCAAAATAAGAAAACGTTCTTCACAAACAAACTAACAACTAATAAAAACGAAAACTAAGAATATCGATTAATCGGCCTATGAATAACCACTGCATATTTCACCTGCGAAACGTAAAAGTAAGCCAAGAACATCAATAATGGTATCTGGTCGTATCGAGCCCCGAGGTCTCCCTTAGTCTCCCTTAGTCCCACAACGTTTACATGAGGATAACGTGGCGGTCGGGCCTGAGTTCCAGGTTTTCTCGTATTTATGTATTTGAACGGGAGGAAGGACGTCTTTCGTCGGGAGATGGTAGTGATCAGATTGGAAAGTCATTGCATTCCGCACATAGATCGACGACAGAACGCTGCAGCTTTATGATATCGTTTTTTCTCATGAGGAATTCCGTGTAGAGTATTATAAAGTGGGTTATATATAGTCAAGCTCGGTATAGAGGGGCGACTTGTATTTACGTCAGTGTGAGGGAATCTGAGCGAAAAAAAAGTGTGTGACGGAACTGGGACATACAAGCACCAGTAAGAAAACGGGAGAAGACCATTAGTGTGGTGAATTACAAAGAACTGCCATTATCCACTTTCAGAACATCCTTGCATCATCAAGGCTTAAAACGTAAACATGCCAGCACAGGTAGCAGCAGCCGAAGAATTTGACGAAAATTCGGATGCCCTTTTCAGACCATCACGAGACTCGCCTGCTGTTAGTACCTCGGAAAACAGGTAAGCAAACAGTTGGCAACTGACAACCAAACACCGTACCAGCTCTTATAAACAGAAGATAAGAAAGCGGTCGTAATGTTATGTCAGATCTCGCAAAGTATTGGGTCTTGGCAATAGATGGCGCTGGTGTACAGGTCGCGGAACTTGTGTCGTCTGCTTATAGACTCCAAACCCGCGACATTCGGTCGCGTTGAGCAGGATGGCAGGTCTTTTGCGCGTTTTATGCTGTAGATCTACGAAAGATCACCCGGAATTTGTTTGCTATTCATTCTCGAAGAACACAGGAAGGTAAGAATACAATGTTGAACAATAAGAAGTCTTGATCTTTTGCTCCAAATGCCGTTTCATGTCCTTGTTTTTATTTAATTTCTAAAGTTGACAGGCTTAAGCGCATTTAGAATAGTTTAGCATAACTCAAAGGGAAATCTTGTCATTACGTGGGGGTTTATATATATATATATATATATATATATATATATATATATATATATATATATATATATATATATATATATATACTGTATATATGTGTGTATATATATGTATGCATATCCATGTGTGCACACACACACAAATATATATATATATATATATATATATATATATATATATATATATATATATATATATATATATATATATATATATATTTGTGTGTGTGTGTGTTTGTGTGTGTGTGTGTGTGTGTGTGTGTGTGTGTGTGTGTGTGTGTATGTATGTATATGTATATGTATATATATTTATATATACATATGTATATATATACATATATATTATATATATATTATATATATATATATATATATATATATATATATATATATATGTATATATATGTATATATATATGTTTGTATGTATATGTATATAGATTTATGTATATACATATACATATATATGTATATATATATATATATATATATATATATATATATATATATATATATATATATATATATATACATACTCACATACACAGGCGCGCGCTTGTGTATGTGTGTATTTGTATACAATCTTATATAGACACTTATATAGACAAGGTCTATATAAGTGCTTATATAGACCTTGTTTGTGTATGCACATATCAGTATCTGTATGTATCGGGAAGGACGGCCCGCTTGCCTTTCCAAGCGGACGATGATCATAGGTATCCAAGCGGTTTTCATATATCTTGAAGGGGGGGAGGGGTATTATGCAGAGTGATGTACCTGAAAATCTCAGAAATAAATGATAGAGACAAGGTGAATTTCGTCCCGGGTCAATTCAGTGACACAAACGCATTTGGGGCGAAAAGATGGAACAGTTATTTACACAACGTTAAAGTTTTTGATATAGTGCGCATAAAGTTCTTTACATTTGAACATCATGAATTGAATCAATTGAATCAGGATTTTATCACTGAACAGATTAAGATATGGGAGAAGGTGCCAGTGTTCATCGCCAAAAGTTCGCAAGAAATGAAGTCTTCGTTTATCAGAGTGTTACTACGCCGGAGGAAAGTCATCTTCGTAGGGATGCATGCCCAGCCCTTACCTGAGGTTTGTGGAGTGAAATTGTTTGTGTCTCAACGCTGCTTTATTCATACGTATTGGCGCGGCTGGAAAAGCTTTGAATTTATTCGGAACTGTATTTCAAGGCTGCTGTTTAGACTAATATCGCTAGTTGATCTGTAGTAACAAAGGTATTTAATTAACGATATATATATGTATATGTATATATGTGTACTTGTATATATATTTTTTTTTTCTTTCTTTTTAATCGTCATACTCCATAAAAGCAGTGGAAACATAGGTAATTATGATTATAGGCATGATTATGTATAACCATTATGGATGATTAGGTAACAACAAAAGTACGGCACATGCGTATAAAATGCATTCCTTACGAATACTTACGTGACCCGTAAGTATGTATTCCTGATGTTTCATGAACAATCAAGGAAACAGCTTATCACACGGGACAAGGGGACTCTTAGATTGACTGTCTAGATGGGCTCTCTATGTACGTACGTACTCGCGCACAAGAACAAACACACACACACA